AACTGGTAAAAGAAATTTGACGTGTCTATTTTGTGGTACACAAAATTAAATATTGCGAACAAAATAACATGTGAACAACAGCAGAAAGAACAACCTGTTTAATCAGGTTTTATTTTTTCTCGTCGAATGAAAATAGCAGGCTACCTCAAATCAATCGCTCCTCGGAAAATAGACCTATGCATTTAATTAATGCTCCACACGAATTCGTATATCACAAGACTCTGTCAACCTTTTAAATACAAGTCATTAAAGATTATGTCTTGAGCATCTGGTTTTACATGTGTCATCCCTAGACATCATTTTTTTTTAACGTCTTACAGTTCCCCAAAATATCCAAAGTATCAAGGGTATAAATTGGTTCAGTTCAACATTCCCTGGGAATTAATTTTATGACTTTGGTTGTTCTGTTCTTAGAGCTAGAGGAGTGATATTTAATTTGTTTATTTAAGCGATAATAATAATCACCTCAGCCAGTAAGTCCTCTGTTAATGGTATCTGAAATTGCATCTCTTGTGTGAAATGTTTCTACAGCATACATCAATATAAATATGATTTCCTCTTTGCATATATAGAGAAAATTGCAAAACAGAAGCTTATCCGCTTTTGCTGCCACTCTGTAGTGCACCCTCAATTTATAGGCCATTTGTACCTCGCTGGCATCCTATAAGTGTGTTTTGTAGATGTATAGCCAACACTATTGTAGCGTCTCTTTTGCCAGATCCTTGTGATTAATCATCAGACTCCAATTGGGAGCTGCACTACTTACTACTAGCACTCCCTATTAGAACAACAGACAGGCCCACAGGGCTGAAATCCGACAGATACGGAGGAGTCGTCTCCCTCATTACCTGTTCTGTGTGAAGAGATGTTTCTCTCAAGGGAAGAGGGGAAAAGATTTGCCTTTGAAGAACAGAAAAAGAACACTGTGGGCTGGAAGAGGAATGTCTTCATTATGCAAACAGGACAGAACAGAAACGGGAGTTTTTGAGCCTCTGATGGCGTTCAAGAGATGCTGCTTTTGGATGCGAGTACGTAAAGCAAAACTGGGATGCTCCTGCATATTTAAAGTCGTGACGCTCTTTGAATCTTCTCTGCTTGTCTGTGAGTGTTGCGTAACACTATGACTGGGTTAGAAGTGTGTCTAACCCGCTGTGTAGAATACTGAGATATATTCATTTGAGATTTGTTTACACTAATTTGGCCATTTATTCATGACAGCTAAATTTCGTAATCAGTTCATCTCTTTTAGTGTTAAGTTTTTTTCTGGACAAACACTTTAGAGAAATTTCATGCAAATGTCAGCCTTGCCATAAAGTTTGCACCAAAATAGTGAAAGTGTATATTCAAAAAGGCGGCAACACCAAAGCTCCAAAAACGGCCATTTATTAAATTAAAAAGGATGATACAAGGCCTGTAACATTTCGAGCACACAGACTCTTCATCAGACAGCAGTAAAAGTAGAAAAATGCTCATTTATAAATTTACAACTTGCAAATTCAAAATGTAAATACACAAAAACAAATCCTAATAATACAGTACATCACAAAATAGAGAAAACGCATAATACAATATAACAAAGGAATACAACAAAATATAGACAAGGAACTTGACCAAAACAATATTTAAGAAAAGGACGAAAATCACACTCATTTAATCCTGAAAATCCAAAAGGATTCACATTGTAAAAGTAATCTATTAAGACTTCAATCAACAACAACAACATGGATTACGTTAACGGTCTTGCATTAAATTCAAATTTTTTACTTTTTTGCTGTTTGGGTAAGAGTAAACGTTGATGTTTTGTATGTGAATTTGAATTATAAATCATTGCCACATTCAAAATGACCATATGGTTTATTATTTAGAAAATGCGGAGTGCGTTTTAGATCAACTCTTACCGACATTACAAATCAATATTACAAATATTAGATGTTCTTTTGTGTACTAAATGAGGTGAATTTTTAAAACATCCTTTGAGGGTAGTTGTGCTCAAAACGTTACACGTCTTGTATCAGCCCTTTTAATTAAATAACTGCTTTTTTGGAGCTTTGATGGTACCGCCTTTTTGATTTTATACTTTTGCAGACTTTTGAGCAGGCATTTAAAGTGATGTGTGTGTGCTTTTGTGTATTTTACCAAAATAGCAAAACCATTTCTACAATTTTTTTGTGTAAGCAAGTATTTTGTAGAATTTAAAAATACTCACAAATGTGTCTATCAATGCTTTCAAACAATTATGTTTTATTTACCAAAGTCACACAAGTGCCAATTTCACATCTGTCATATTCGTACTGGAGAGATGTCACATCCATAACGAAGCCTTTTCTTCATAAATGCAAAAATGTAAAATAAAACCAATCATTTTTTGTTTAATAATGAGCCAGCTCTTATCATTTTGATTAGGATAGTTAATTTTGGGTCGTGCAGATTAATCCACAGAATTCCTACAAAGTACAGTATGTTGTACACTGTAGACTGGTAAACTTTTTTCATCACATCCATAACGCATGTTGATTTAAAAAAATAGTTTACAGATTGATCTTTTTCTGATGCCATAATTGTTTTGGAAAATATAAACCAATGTTGCATTATAATGTTATCATTTACTTTCTATGTAAATTTATGTTTTGAGTTTTTACTGCAAATGTCATATCCATTATGCTGGAATTATGAGAGTGACAACTACATTCAACAACCGAGTTAACTCCTGAAAAAAGTAGTGGCAACTTCATTTATAACATTTATGCATTTAAACAGTGTGCACAGTACTCAGCTGACAAGAAGTTGTTAATGCTGTATAGTTTTCTCTTTTCTCTGTGTGCAAGGAATCAGCGAATGAGGATGGTCTTGACATGTTGCTATAAATTGATTGAAAATTCAACATACTGTTCAAAGGCACTAGATGCGATACAGTGCCGTTGATTTTACAAATAATTCTGATATGGCGGAAAATTGATAGCTTTTCTGCACCTGCTGTAGTATAGATCGCTTTTAGCGGTGACAGTGTCATGTGACATGACCAAGATCTCGATTAGTGCAGGATTTAGCAATAACACAACACCTGTCTAGGCTCTAGTAAATAACTGTTTTACATTTGGTATTTTTACATACAAAGGTTGTAATGGACCTGTTTTGTTTTTGAATTTGTAAATCATTTCATTTTTTAAAATATGTAGCAAGTTGTTGATGAGTTTCACTGTTGCACCTTTACTTGGGTGCATTGAATGTGCATATTTGGTTTCTTGTTGCAGGGTTTAATCAAAGTAAAAAAATATTTAACATAAGTATGTTGGTTCTGTTGTCATTGTAAATGGTTGTTACATTAATATATAGCCATATGTGAAGGCGTTGGTTATCAGCAGGTATGCACAAATATTTTAGCCACTGGTTCTATTCTCCCTCTTGACATAGTCACTGCATTATGTGAAGTGATTTTTACACCAGATTCTGAAGCTTTGTGTTATGAAACCCATTCATTTCAATGGCTTGGCCACTTTTGCTTTAAGTGAGCTCAGTAGTTTATATTTTATTTTATTTTTTATTCACATGTACACACATCTATGCACAAACCACATAATGCTCACCATAAATAACTCGAATAATATTGCAACAGGACATTTCTATCATAGTATCATACATATTTTATTTGTCATTTATAATGCTAGGCAAAGAATAATCATGACTAATGTAATCCAATATTAAAGTTTGTTTTGACATATTATATGCATGTGTACCGTTTATATTTATTATGTATGTATAAATACACACAAGCATATGTTTGAGAAGATGTTTATAAAATGTGACTAAATATATGATAAAATTATATGTGTATTTAAATATCAATGTAACCATTTTGTTTATGTATGTGTTTATCACATGTATGTAATAAACAATTATGTATATATAATACACACAAATTATTTCAAAACAAACTTTTATCATTGATGTGATTTATTGCTATAAAACTTTTCCCAGCACCAGTTATTTAATAAAACAAGAAATATCTATTATGGAGCAAATTTGTGCATTCAGAATTTTCATCTTTAGCATTCAGAATTTTCATTTTGGTCCACTCCTAATTATCAACATTTAGATTTACATATATTTTTTGTCTGTTGAGCTAACATTTTAATTCAAATAGTCATACATAATCAATATTTCATTCAGTCAAATCAAATTTGATCTAAATTGTAACTTTGTAATTAAAAATCAAATAAAATCTAATCGCCAAATGGGTCACAATTCACATCCCTATATTGTTAACCATAGCAATTTTAGGTGCGAGTTGTTTTCAATCGATACACAATAGGGCTACACAGTGTATCATTCCCAACATCGACATCGCAATGTGCACATCTGCAATAGTCACATCGCAGGATCTGCAATGCTGAGGCGTGATTATAGTTGACCAAGAACCACAGTTAATCGTATTATAATATTTTTACCTTTAAGGAAGATTGATTGTACTTGAGTATATAAACACAATACACTCACTTACTTTACATTTGATTACTCTTCTGAATAAAGCTGGTCTCCCAGAAAAAAAAAAAAAAAAAAAACTTATTGTTTTCATGTATATCTTTGCTCTACTGTTTTAGCAATACTTTTGATTGGTTTATTATATTAAATGCAGATGCACTCTACAAAATCATCATAATCAACAAACTTATATAAATTCTTTTTCAAATAGAGCTATTTCTTTTGGTGAAATTGTATGCAGTATTACAACATGTATCACAGAAAAAATAAAACATCGCAACGTCAGTTTTTTCCAATATCGTGCAGCCCTAACACAGAATATTATATGTGGTGATTCACCGCTGTATTTAAATGCTATTGTCACTTCTAAAACCTTCAATGTGTACATGCTTTAAGCAGTTCAAGGGCCCTGCTATGTTTGTGTGTGTTGGAGCCTTTTGTGTGGGTTATTATCTTTCATCATTTGAGATGTGAATGAGTAATGTATGCTGCTCTTACATGTGCCTTATGTGTGTTTTCAGATCTCATCCACTGCACCAATGAGATGAATGTGAACGTGCCCCAGCTGGCAGACACTCTGTTTGAGAGAACCACCAACAGCAGCTGGGTCGTGGTCTTCAAAGCGCTCATCACCACACACCATCTAATGATGTATGGAAATGAGGTGAGAGATACCGCATTGGTACTTCATTTTGTCTTGCTGCAAAAAACGTGGCCCACATCAGGCCCCCTTCTGTGCCTCTGCTATTGAAGATCCACTGTATTTTGGTCAAAGTGAACTTACATGGCCAATCACACCTCCGCAATCACAATGTGCCATTTGTGACTAAGCGTGCGAGAGATATGGTGCCAGTGAAAACATTATCATTTTTCATCCTGAACAGTTGGTTTTTAGTTGCTTTAAAGCTGTAATGAGGCAAAAGCAACCTGGAGATCAGATGAATGCCTGAAGGCTAGCCTGGGCATGTTTAAATGTCAATTACCATATCATGATGACATGATTATTTTATAGGAAATAAATAAATAAATATAAATATATATATATATATATATATATATATATTTTTTTTTTTTAAGATTTAAGATTAGTCTTTTTTTATCTCCAGAATGTGTCTAAAGTTTCAGCTCAAAACACTCATCAGATAATTTATTATAGTTTTAAGAATATTGGAGTTTTCAGCTCTGAGCAAACTGTAGCTGTTTTTTATGTCTGTGCCTTTAATGCAAATGAGCTAGTTCTCCCCGCCCACTGTTCCCACGTTCCTGTCAGTGTGCCTACATCTCCTGCTGAATCAGATAGACAGCACAGTGACAGACATAAAGGATGTAGATCTCATGTTATGTTTGTGAGGAATACTACAGTAAAAACTTTCCCAATGATTATTATTTGATGTATTTTTGTGGAGTTAATTCAAGCCTTTCTGCAACGATGAGTTACACTCAATGTCATTACAAGGTTGACACACACACACACACACACACACACACAAAAAGTGCGCGCGTTTGTAGGACACACTATACCTACACACAGTTCTCTCCAAACAGCTTTCACAAGATAAATTTCTCCATAGGTGCCCTTCAACACGTCTGAGTGCAAAGCAGGTGATATTTTGAGGGTGAGGACTGTTATGTTGTCATTTAATTTTGGAAAAAATATTTAGTAATTTGCGTATTTTGTTCATTTTAATTGGCTTTAGTCTGTATAGTTTTAATTCATTTTTATTTTTGTGTAAATTTGTATTGAGTTTTGTTTGCCAACTGGCTTAAGTTGTAAATCAGATTTAATTAAATTTAATTAGTATGTAATTTAATTAATTAAAGGGGTTTAGTTTTAGTGAACAATTATAACCCTTACTAGTGTTGTTGTTATCATTATTGTTAATAGACCCCCTAGTTTTTAATTTTTTTTTTTTTGTAATTTTGTGCGATTAAAAATAATAAATTTGCAGACAATTTTGCGATTTAAAAATCTGACACAATGAAACGAGTCTTAAAATTAAAGCTTCAATTTGGTCTCTTGTCACGACAATATTTAAAATGCTAGAAATTAAGGCAAAGGTAGATTGTATAATTTATCCACAATCTTACACAATTTTACTCCCCGGAGCATCTGACGTCATGCACTTACTCAGGACATGTGCTAGGGCTTCCCACACTGTAATGCACGTAAACATGGATTGCCGTAAAAATTGTCAATGGTAGGGAAGCGTTTGCTCTCATCAACAGCAGAGAAAGAGTTAAACAAAATCATTTATTGATTTGACACATCATAATAGGCTACCAGCCATACATGTAGAGCAAAAATAATGTCCTTCAATTCAGTCACATACAGAGGCAGTCATCCGTGAACAACTCTCCATCATTGTACGCTGCTTGCTTCTCTGTCCATTGCTCTGTTTGTTGGATGTTTGCTCACACTTTTCTTTTTTAGTCTGAAGTGCGTCAAACACACTATTCGTGCCATGTTATTCACTCTGTTTGCACCACAGGATGTCTAATCGCATCTTTGCGTTGACTTCACATGTAAATCACTCACGCTTTATCCGCATCTGCTTACTGCACAGGCTGCAAAACAATTCTTCCATGTAATGTTAGGATTTTGAGGGTGCAGGTGAGATGTCATTTTTCAAGAGACACTCAAATACATCATGTGCGCTGCGTGTGCAACGGCTAGAATTCATATAAAGCAATTATTGCAAACTGAAATAAATCTAATTTGATTATATGCTTCGGAAATGGATGTTTTTTGTGATTATTTTGCAAATTTTGTTGATTTTGCTTTAGATTCAGAAATCGCAAAAAACTAGGGAGTCTGTTTTTATCATGAGATGCATTAATGTAAATGATATTTTACTGCATTGTCAGTTTTTTCATATATTACTTGTGTATATACTCATTTCATCCTGTTATTTTATTATATTACACAACTACTGTTGGACATTTCTGTGTAATGCATCTACAAAAGCATGTGCTAATAGTGTGAAACAACATGAAAGTTTGAAAGCTTAAAAAGTTTATGCACAGGAGCAAGACTTATCTACAAATAGATGCTTATATACAGGCACAAACATGTAGTAGGCTAATGATAAACAGCGGGTAGGTGTGAACATGACACATGCACACATTAATGATATATACAGTTAGGACGTGACCTAGATGTGCACATGGCCTGCTTAATGCATTGCTGCTACATGAGCTACTCTAGCTAAGCACGCACATTCACCTTGCTTCAATACCTAAATGAGGACATGACAAAGGCTTGCTCTCTATTCATCTAAAGCTAATTGTAAGTGAAACAGAGTTAAAAAGTGTAGCTCTCCCTTAAATTAAAACGGTCATTTTACTTTTACATTTTCTTTTACTTTGTATTAATTCCTATTCTCTGTGGAACAAGCATGTTTTTGTTTTTTTTTGAAGAAATTGAAACCAAACATGGCGTCATGGTGGTTTAGTGGTTAGCACTGTTGCCTCACAGCACTAAGGTCGCTGGTTCAAGTCCCGGCTGGGCCAGTTGGCATTTCTGTGTGGAGTTTGCATGTTTTCCCCAGGTTCACATGGATTTCCTCTGGGTCCTCCGTTTTCCCCCACAGTCTAAAGACATGCGCTATAGGTGAATTGGGTAAACGAAATTGGCTGTAGTGTATGTGTGTGAATGCAAGAGTGTATGGATGTTTCACAGCACTGGGCTGTGGCCGGAAGGGCATCCGCTGTGTAAAAAATATGCTGGAATAGTTGGTGGTTCATTCCGCTGTGGTGACCCTTTATAAATAAGGGTCTAAGGTGAAGGGAATAAGTGAATGAATGAAACCAAACATTTAATATAAAAAATGAAAGAATATTTTTTGTTTCTTAGGAAGTAATATATTTTTTGATGACAAGTGCACAAGTAATCAATGACATTATTATTCTTTTTTTTAAACGTTTAAACTGATTGTTTTGCACCAAGTAGGCTGAGTAGAATTATTTTAGTTTTAGAGTTTAGTTTGGAGTTTTTGTTAACATTTATTAGGATTCAAGTAACAAAATGTTTAGTTTTATTGCTTTAATTTTAGTCAAAATTGCAGCTAGCTCTCTGCAGCTCTCCCATAGTCGCTCACTGAAGCTAAGCAGGGCTGCGCCCGTTCTGTACCTGTATGGGAGACCACATGGGAAAGCTAGGTTGCTGCTGAAAGTGGTGTTGGTGAGACCAGCAGAGGGGCGCTCAACCTTCTGTGTCTGTGTGAGTCCTAACGGCCCAGTATATTGATGGCAACTCTATACTGTTCAGTGAGAGCCGTCTTAGGGATGAGACGTTCAATCCAAGGTCCTGACTCTCTAGGATTGAATTGAATTGAGTTTTTTTTTGACCGATTTTAGACAAACTGTACAAAAATACAAGTATCCCATACGTTTTGAAATAAAACTTGAGGATTAATACAAAATTCACAATACAATAATATGTATAATAAAACATCATTCACTATGCAAACTAACTATCCTCATTAAACATCCGTCTCTTTAAAAATGAAAAAAATTGTCATTAGAAAACCCCAGAATGTCCTTTGAAAAAGAGTTAGGCTTTAACCCTGGCATCATGGCCAAATTTGCCCCCTAGCCTCTGTCTATCATGGCCCCCTAACCATCCCCATATCATAATTGGCGTCATCACTCTGTCTCCTCTCCACTCTCAGCCAGTGTGTGGTGCGCAGTCTGGCACAATATGGCTGCCATAGCGTCATCCTGGTGGATACTGCATACTGGTGGTGGATGAGGAGATTCCCCCCAAAAATGTATTAAGCACATTGAGTGTCCAGAAAAGCGATATATAAATGTAAGAAATTATTATTATTATTATTTTTACAAATATGCAACATCAACTAGGCATACAATAAAGCAGGAAATAATGCAGGAAAACACATATCCACATTCAAATGACATAACTAAATAAATAAATAAAATAAGTAAATCAAAATGATGATAAATAAATAAAAACAATAACTTAAAAATAAAAGATCATGACAAAATAAAAAAAAACACACAATTTACATAACATTCAAATGTTCCCGAAGATGGACAAAGTCCTTCTGCTTGCCTTTGATATAAGTTAGTCTCTCCAGTCCAATACAGTTACGTATTTCTTTTTTCCACAATTCTCTGGAGCATCGATGTGTTTCCTGTATAATGCTATGTCCCTTCTAGCTTCAAGAAAACCAAAATCCAAAATTTTTGTCTTTCCAGTTTTTAAGTTCCATTGGATACAAACCAAGAATTTTTATATATATATATATATCATCCTGCTCTCATTAACCACAAAGTTGTTTAAACCTGCTATTTATTGTTTGTGTTCGAGGTTTCAAGAAAGCTTAATTACAGTCCACTTTATCTATATCTGCATGTTGCATATGTTTTCCAGGCATATAACGTATCCAATGTTGGTTCAGTAGTATGTGTGTCCATAAAATTGTAATACATAGAAACATGACCCCTTCCTTCTAAATTTTGGATAGTTTTTTTCTATAATTTTCGATAAAGATGATAAAAAGTAATGTTTCTTTTTATGACATGTAACTCTTTGACAGAAGGTATTTAAAGATTATTATTATTATTATTATTATTATTATTATTATTAATATTAGTTGACTACAGCAATCAGCAATCTTTTTACCTCCTTTTTTTAATGTCAGA